ATTTCAGGAATTACACAAGAAGTTAGAATTAGACATTTGAAACTTAAATGATTGGTTTGGGAAACTGTAGACTATTCCTAACTTTTATATATATATAGACACACACACTGGAGATCAAACCAGGGCCTTGCAAATGCTAGACACTGCTCTACCACTGAGCCCTGTTCCCAGCCCAGGAAGTAACTCTTATTGGTTTTTTTTTTTTTAAATTTACATTCTAATTATTAAAGTCAAGCTAAAAATTGTGATATAAAAATCCTCTTGAATCCCCAAAATTTTAAGAGTCTATTCCCTGTTGACTCATTTTGTTGACATGAATAGAAGTTGCAAGAGTTTAAGGAAGATGGAAGGGAAGTACAAAAGCAACAAACAGTAGCTCAATTTTAAACATGGAACTCTGTAAGGTTCTGTACTGAGTCAGTATGGATGAAAGGCCGATTCAAGATTCAGTGAATTATCCTTTAGAATAGTCATTGCATAAGAAGTCATGAATCTAACCATCCTTTCAGTTTTATTTATAAAAAGTAGGCATTCATTTAGTTTAATATTGCTTTTAAATAAAAAAGCGGACATTGGCATCTTGAATTTTCTTTTTATTCGATGTTTAAGATTTTTTTTTTTTCTTTTTTGTTTTTGAAAGCTGATCAGGGTTTTAGAGATCTTTGCTAATGCTACAGAGTGGCAGGATTCTCTCTAGCATGAATATTCTTAGGATTGATACATTTAAAGGACCCAGGAATTAGTGTAGTGTGTACCTCATATCACTGTTGAAAACAACCTGAAATGAGTATTGAGAGCAGATGTGAACCACTTAGAAGTGTTTAGTAGGTGATGTGTTTAGTAGGTGATGTGCCAGACTTGTTGAATGGATCATCAAAGTTAGATTATGAAATAAGAAAGCAATTGAGTCTATCTTCTTGAATAAAGCAATTTTCATTTCAACCTCTCTCACCCCCTCTTGGATTTTTTGTTCTTCGAATACCTCCAGTATTGAAAATAGTATTGTAAGGAAGGAACTGAATAAAGAGAATAAAGAGGAGAGGCAACTCAACAGTAACACAGGGCTACAGTATTCAGGACAAACCTGTGGAGTGGGCCCAGTGGAGACTGGGACCCTTCTTATAGTCTAGGGTAGACAGAGGGGAATGAGAGGCGTGATTTTTTTCAATTAGGCAGTTGCTGTGGGGTTGTCAGGGAAGGGTCCTTGGGATGTCACCTTCTTACAGATGAGGAGTTTTCAGGATTTTAGTATTTTAGTCCTGGAGGGCAATTTCCTTTCTTGTGATGCTAGAATACTGTGATTATGAGGTGACTCTTGTTCTAGGATGGAGGATATGTTTCAAAATAGTGTTGCCTATGACAACTTATTTCTAATAAGTATTACATTTTTTTCCAGTCAAAATATTTTTTATTTTTATTTTTTTAGATATACATGACAGTAGAGTGTATTTTGACATATTATAAATGCATGGAGTATAACTTCTATTCTGTGGTTGTACATGATGTGGAGTTACATTGTTGTGTATTCATATATGAACATAGAAAAGTTATGTTTTGATTCATTCTGTCTTTCCTATTTCCATCACCCCTCCCTTCCCTTCATTCCTCTTTGTCTAATCCAATGAACTTCTATCCCCTCTCACCTATTGTGTGTTAGCATTTGTACATCAGAGAGAACATTTGGCCTTTGTTTTTTGGGGATTGGCTTATTTTATTTAGTATGATAGCCTCCAGTTCCATCCATTTACCAGAAAATGCCATAATTTCTCTCTTCTTTATAGCTGAGTAATATTCCATTGTGTATATATACCACATTTTCTGAATGAGGTTTCCAAATTTGTATTACAACACTGTGACTCCAAAAGTTGCTCCTGAATTACTGACAGGTGCTAGATGCAACAATAGTGAACTCAGTGGGTTCTTTAAAAAAGTCAAAATCAGACACTTTTTATGAGCCTAAGAGTCACTGTGAGTATAAAATACTTATATAAATAGAACTGATTGAGAAAATCAGAACATTTTATAAATTATTAAATGTGAAAGGTCAAATTGGTATAAAAATTTGTGATAAAAGACTTCTGAGATTTATCCTTCAAAACTAAAGTCGTACATTCACGTGAAATTGGTAACAATAGTAACACCAATACACTAATCATTTTTGATTACACATCATATGCCAGACACTGTAGTAAATACTTAACCTCATTTATTCCTTACAACAACACAATATCATTATGTATCATTTTACTTATTCTATAATTGAAGAAAATGCAGCTTGAAGAGGTTAAATAACTTGCCCAAATTATAAATACAAATCAGGATAGGATTAAAATGTAATTAATAGGGGACAGACAGATGAGAATAGTGGGAGCATGAGGCTAAGAAAATAATTCTATAAAATAAGCCCACTGTGCTGACCCCCACATACTTTCTTTTCCAAGAAGCAATTTACCTAGAGCCATGGTGGCTTAAGTGAACAGGATATGTCACATTCCTTAGCAAACTACCTGTTATCTGCAGGAGAAATGCAGGTCTGAAAAAATGTCAATGATGTTACTGAAAACTCAGTACTTGTCCCTGATACTTATGCCAATACAATAATGAGGACACTGTTTTGAGAAACAGGAAAAAAAAAAATTATTGTTTTGCTAGCAAAGGAGAAATACAGGGGCCTCCTGTCCCTGAAGCTGTGATTCTGCTCCTAAGGGGGAGCAGAGAGTTTTTAAGGAGGTATTTGCTGTTTATATCCCTAACAGTGCTGCCCTTTGCCCCAATTGGAGGAGCTCAGGGGTACAATCTACACAATTGGCTAATTTTAAAATAAGACCAGGAAAAGGGAAGGACTATAATTAAAATAGCTATAATTGGATCCAATTAAGACTATATTCTGAAAATGAACCACCAGACTTTCTATTTCTCTCACTGAGATTCTCTGGAAACTTCTCTGGGCTCCCCAATAATACTGGAGTACAGGAGAGGCATATGGTCCCTCTCTTCTTTGAGAGGATTAACTCTTTCCTTTGAGAGTGTCCCATTTCCCTTTTGCTATCCCTCCAATAAATTTATATCCGTTACTCTGAACAACATGTGAAATCTTTCTGACTTAATGGCAAGAATTGGGGTTTGAAGGATGGGTATGCTGCCTCAGTTTCTTGAAAGGCACCAGCCCTGTAGGATAACTAAGAAGACCAAGCCTTTAAATATTGACTATATCATTGACATGAACTTCCTTTGCAATTTGAAAACAAACCAAAAAAATGGCAAGTATTGCCATATAATGTTGATACACATTGAAAAACTGACTTTTTCAGAACACTTTTTTTCTACACAAGGAGATCCAAAACTTTTTATTCTTTTAGTATTTGTCATTAAGTTCATTATGGTCAACTCAACATAAAGGGCATTCTTTCTTGTTTTGCTCTTAGGCTGCAGGTTATATAGTTCTTTACATTAACAGAGGCCTCCCTCTCTTCCTCACCCCAGCAATTTGTTTCCTGTCTTGTGTGAACTTGTTGTGTGTTTCATTTGATGGATAAGAGACGGACCAAGAAAGAAATGCCAGAGCAGCTCAGAGCCTCTGAATCTTTGTCCTCCGTGACCTGATGATAGTCTTCTTTCCCTTTGTATTTATGGACACTGATTTCCTACAAACGCAAAGAGAAAACTCCAGTCCGCCTAGCTTGAAGAGTGGAGTTCAGGTCTGCAGAACACCTGTACTATTTGAAGTCAGAACCTCAGGCCTCTGTGAGCTAAATGCATTTCCAGTGTTTTTCCGATATAAATAAGTCAGTGGACTTTACTGCTGAGAAGTTAAACATTGAAAGCAAGAAGGGAAGAAGAAAGAATATTACCATGTCTATGAAAACAAACACTGGGTTTGCCATTGCTAATTAAAGCATTTCACTGAGTTCCTTCAATTACCTTAGATTTGGAGGCTTTCTCTCTCTCTCTCTCTCTCTCTCTCTCTCTCTCTCTCTCCCCCCCCCCCCCCCTTTCTCTCTCTTTTTTGGCAGTACTCTGGAGAATAACACTTTTCTCTTTTAAAATTCCAATACCTTTTGATGTTCCTAACTGGGTGCCTTGATGATAATGTTCTGAATTCATAGTGCCTTTCATGTATAAGTACTTTACAAATGATAAGAGTCCTAGGCTCCTCCACCAAAGACTTTACTGTCTCTCTAAAGCTGTTGGAGATTTGAATAGGTAGAAGGCAGCTTGAAATTGACCTGTGAGGCTAAGAATATGATCTCATTTCTACTTAAAATTGTCCTGGGAGTACCAATGACCTCAAGAGGTCAAGAATTGTAGCTTTACATTCCTTTTGAAAAGCTACTGATGACTCTCCAGGGCCTTCCTGGGGCAATGGTCTTTGTTCAGACAAAGGGAGGAATTCATTAATGAAATCATTGTTCTTCTCACCTGATACTCTATCACAGTACTTACCAGAGTTTAGACCTTCCTTATCTATGGAATCTGATCCAGTCAGAGTTCAAGAAAACTTTGCTCCAGGCAAAAGTTGTAATACATTTGAATTATATCCTTTTCTCAAATTTCTTTTCAAATACAAAGTACTACTTTTCCTTCTTTCTTCTTTCCTCCTCCCTCCCTTTCTCTTTCTTTCTTTTTCTAATTTATTTATTTATTTTCCGAGTTTCTTCAAAGATATAATGTGAAATTTTGAGTGTGGGAAAAATGAGTTTATTTCCAGATATCTATATTTTATACTTACACATAATTTTTTCATTTATCAAGTTGCCCTGAAAAGTTTAAATTATATATAGAACACAGATCTGTGCATGAGATGTCCTGAACTTTTAATATCACTTTCTCTCAATTTTAATTCTTCATATAGATAGTTAAGAATTCTTTCTCTAAATACAAAATGATTTTGGAAAATATAATCCTGAGTTTTTAGTAACAAGATTACCTTTTATAATTTTCAAGTGAAAGAAAATATACTAAAAGATGAATTTTGTAATCATTTATAATGTATTTTTCAGCTCTGATGAAGCCTTCAATAAAGTCAATTTAAATTACCGCACTGAAAATGGGCTGTCACTACTACATTTATGCTGCATTTGTGGGGGTGAGTACTTGAAATTTGCTTTTTAACTTGGGTATATGTATATACAGTCAGTAATTTGAGCTGCCTAATAGTCCACAAGAAAATTCTATTTATACTTAATGTTCTCTTTAGCTTTGCCTTCCTTCCAAACCTGATAACCTTTGATTGAAGCATAGATACCAAGCAGTTATTTCACTTAATTTAACTCTGATTTCAAGTTTCAATGTTTTCCTTATCCTAAACCAAGTCACTTAGTGTGCTTGACAATCAGAAATTACTTTTAAAAATTGGGCTTGCCAGTCAGGAGTTAGGTTAAATTCTGAAGTACCCAAAATATTTCCCAAAATATCATCAAGTAGTTGCTTATCAATAAGCAACTAAAGTATATGAAAATTAACAAATGTCCAAGATAAACTCTAAAAGAGAAGATCAGTCAAAATGAAGATTAAGATTAAATTTAGTTTATTTTCTCTTTTATTAATGTATCCCACACACCTTGAATGGTGTCTAGCATATGGTAGTCAGTCAATAAATTTATTGAATTGACAAATGACTAGTGAATAATTACTTTGTTAACCCAAATTAAATTCATTGAAATCAGATTTTTTTATAGAAAAATAGTGTATAAACATCAAATGTAACCATATTCCTTAACCATTCCTCCCAAACAAACTAAACAGTGTCTACTTAGTATATTATTCTCACAAATTTAAACATGGCTACCCAAGTTTGGTCATACCCTCCGTATTTTCTTGATCTAAATAAACTCTACTACTCATGATGTTCTGACAAATCTTCTAGATTTTCATCCAAGCTTTCTTGAGAATTATGAACTTACATTTGTTCATAATGTTTTATTTTAAAGTCATCTAATGATGGAAGCACTAGATTAAAAATACATGAGTTACAGCATTAATATAAAACTATACAATATAAAAATTTGTAAAGTTTTATAGGTATATTAGAAAAGTTCACTTTTAAGCTGTCAATTAATAGAAAACTTCATGAATGGCCTATGAACAGCAGCCTGACATTTTCATACATCAGAGTGGCATTTATCATTAAGTCAAAGAGAGATTTTAAAGCTACTTAGTTCACCCCCAATGATTCAGCCTTTATTTTTTTTCAAAGGCAACAAGTCACATATTCGAACCCTTATGTTAAAAGGGCTCCGCCCATCTCGACTGACAAGAAATGGATTTACAGCATTGCATTTGGCAGTTTACAAGGTATGACATTTTCATTCCCATTAGTACTGTATTAGAACCAAAGATGGTGGGTATTTTTAGGCTGTTTTGGGGGAGGAGGAGCAAATATTAATCATGAAAAACTTTTAGAGTGACAGAGGCATCACATTACTGAATTGACTTCCTTTTCTTTTTTGAGTAAATATCCTTTATACACTAGACACATACTACTTTTAAGGCTTTCTGTGTTTAACCCATTTAATTCTCACAAGAACTCTGCAAGTCAATATAGTTATTATCCCCAAGGGAACATGGCTAGCTAGTGGTTAGCCAGGGTCTAAGACCAGACCATCTAGTTCCCACACAGAGCTCCTCACCAATATACCAAGCTACCTCTGTACAGAGAGAGATGAGGTTGCATTTGATTATGATTGAAGCTTCATTTCTTTTCTGAAAGATTTCCTTAATAAAGTGTCTCTAGAGCTCCCTTTAGTTTCTTTTATTTTTTTCTTGCTTTTGCTTTAATTGTTTGTTTCCTCTCAATTGAGCCCTTGTTCCAATCAAATCTCAATACCAGATATAAGAATAAACATGAAAATGAATTGTAATAAGTGGGATATTGGGCATTGGAATTCCCATTGAAGTTATCATAAATATAAATTTATGTGATTATAAAAATTATTTAAAATAAATTGTGATTCTCTAATCATAGTAACAATGTGTGCTTAGCTGTACTTACGAGCTAAATATACTGCTTATGTTATTTCTTTAGCTATTGAAATAAATTTGTAGGATGTATATTGGAGTTTATATTACAGAAAAAAATGAATTGAACATTAAAATTACATATCTAGAATATCAGATTACTGTTTAGTTGACTCAGCTATACTATAGTATATATTGTACTATATATACTATATAGTTTAGAATATAGTATAGCTGACTCAACTTCTAACCTTTCGTTGTTATATTACATATTTTGTTCTTTCTCAGTTTCATGTGAATCTGTGGCAGGATTTTGTTTCACCTTTGTGTAGCTAGGGTCTGGGAGGTGGGACAACTACTTGCTTATATTGGGAACCCTCTTCCCTGTACCCTTCCTAATCTCTTGAGAGTTTATCACTGTGTGGGAAGAGGGCCACAGTTTTCCATGATTCAGTTCATATATTCCTATGGTTCATAGTGCAAATACTCTAAAGCTGATGGTCTCTTTTTATACCAAATCAATCTTTGTCCATTCTGATTCCTTACAGGTGAAAGCCATGGTTAAGTGCTAAATTGTCTTTAATACTCATTACTCCTAAACTCAAATGGAGGCTGAGTTCAAAATATATGAAGTAGCATCATACGTTGACTTTTCAGCTAAAAGGCAGGCGGTAAAAGTAAAAGAACTCTGAGGAAGGGGAAGTTGATGATGGATAACCAAGGCAATTTCTGAAACCATGAATTTTGAGTCTGTCTGGGAAATTCTTTCTGTATTAGTTCATTTTGCTAAGATTTAGCATGACACTAGCTTACAACTAGCTTCTAAATGATTTAGAGTTACCATGTTTCGAGAATATATTTCTTCCTCTTGTTTATTAAAACTAAATTTCCATTTTTAGAGTTCTCTTTGTTCTATTTCTTATGTTTCCTTGTATGTTTCAGAAAGGTACATGGACTATAACTTTTTCATAGCAAGTTTACATGAATTTAGATTCTTAGGAAACAAAGTAGGCAAAGCATCTTAAAAGACCATAATAAAAGGCTTGATCACTCTGCTTATTCCTTATTCATCTGTAATAAACAAATTAAAGTTACCATTCACTCTAAATACAAAAATGACATAAAGTACTCTACCAATGCATTAAATGCAGCTCTAATTTTTCCTTGACTGAACTATTGCAATTATCATTTTAGACTCCATTTCCCTTTCCTCATAAATTTCTAATAAATTTTTATTTTAACATTATTTCAAACTTAAAAGAATTTAAGAATGCTGCAAGAAACTCCTGTATACACATTATCCAGGTTAACTGTTTATGTTTTGTCTCATTTCCATTATTTTTCAGTTTTTTTCTGAGCCATTTGAAAGTAATTGAAGATAGCATGCCCTATTTCTACAAAGTACTTTAAACTTTATTTACTAAGAACAAGTCACTAATATAACTCCAATATATACAATCAGAAAATTTAATATACATGGGATACTACCATCTCTATAACAAATTCAAATTTGACCAATTGTCTCAATTGCATGATTTATACTTTTTTTTTTTCTTTTTTGGTCTGGCCTAGGATTCCATCCAGAATCATGCATTTTTAGTGTTCTTATTTCTATAATCTTTAGTGAGAAAGTGTTTCTCAGCCTATCCTTGTCTTTCTTGGTTTTAATGTTTTTGATGCTTACAGAGCAGACATTAACACATATTTCTTTAAATTTTTTAAAATATTGCAGTTGAACTTTACTTTGTTCATAGCACTCAAAATAAATAATGTAACTCTCACCACTTTTTTGGTAGTCACAGAAATACTTCTTTTCATTGTATATCTTACATACTCTGACATGCTAGGTCTGCTGCACATTTGAAATTTCTTTTTTTTTTCACCAATGGCATTACCTCTGTTTAATTATAGTAGAACAAATGCTCAGTATTTTAATGCCAAATGGATTGTTTTTACAGGATTTATGTTTATTTTTTTTTTATTTTTTTTTTTTATTGTTGGCTGTTCAAAACATTACATAGTTCTTGATATATCATATTTCACAATTTGATTCAAGTGGGTTATGAGCTCCCATTTTTACCCCATATACAGATTGCAGAATCACATCAGTTACACATCCATTGATTTACATATTGCCATACTAGTGTCTGTTGTATTCTGCTGTCTTTCCTATCCTCTACTATCCCCCCTCCCCTCCCCTCCCCTCCCCTCCCCTCTTCTCTCTCTGCCCCCTTTACTGACATTCGTTTGTCCCCCTTGTATTATTTTTCCCCTTCCCCTCACTTCCTCTTGTATGTACTTTTGTATACCTCTGAGGGTCTCCTTCCATTTCCATGCATTTTCCCTTCTCTCTCCCTTTCCCTCCCACCTCTCATCCCTGTTTAATGTTAATCTTCTTCTCATGCTCTTCGACCCTACTCTGTTCTTAGCTACTCTCCTTATATCAAAGAAGACATTTGACATTTGTTTTTTAGGGATTGGCTAGCTTCACTTAGCATAATCTGCTCTAATGCCATCCATTTCCCTGTAAATTCTATGATTTTGTCATTTTTTAATGCAGAGTAATACTCCATTGTGTATAAATGCCACATTTTTTTTATCCATTCATCCATTGAAGGGCATCTAGGTTGGTTCCACAGTCTAGCTATTGTGAATTGTGCTGCTATGAACATCGATGTAGCAGTGTCCCTGTAGCATGCTCTTTTTAGGTCTTTAGGGAATAGACCGAGAAGGGGAATAGCTGGGTCAAATGGTGGCTCCATTCCCAGCTTTCCAAGAAATCTCCATACTGCTTTCCAAATTGGCTGCACCAATTTGCAGTCCCACCAGCAATGTACAAGTGTACCCTTTTCCCCACATCCTCGCCAGCACTTGTTGTTGTTTGACTTCATAATGGCTGCCAATCTAACTGGAGTGAGATGGTATCTTAGGGTGGTTTTGATTTGCATTTCTCTGACTGCTAGAGATGGTGAGCATTTTTTCATGTACTTGTTGATTGACTGTATGTCCTCCTCTGAGAAGTGTCTGTTCAGGTCCTTGGCCCATTTGTTGATTGGGTTGTTTGTTCTCTTATTGTCTAATTTTTTGAGCTCTTTGTATACTCTGGATATTAGGGCTCTATCTGAAGTGTGAGGAGTAAAGATTTGTTCCCAGGTTGTAGGCTCTCTATTTACCTCTCTTATTGTATCTTTTGCTGAGAAAAAACTTTTTAGTTTGAGTAAGTCCCATTTGTTGATTCTAGTTATTAACTTTTGTGCTATGGGTGTCCTATTGAGGAATTTGGAGCCCGACCCCACCGACTGTAGATCGTAGCCAACTTTTTCTTCTATCAGACGGCGCGTCTCTGATTTGATATCAAGCTCCTTGATCCATTTTGAATTAACTTTTGTGCATGGCGAGAGAAAGGGATTCAGTTTCATTTTGTTGCATATGGATTTCCAGTTTTCCCAGCACCATTTGTTGAAGATGCTATCCTTCCTCCATTGCATGCTTTTAGACCCTTTATCAAATATAAGATAGTTGTAGTTTTGTGGATTGGTTTCTGTGTCCTCTATTCTGTACCATTGGTCCACCCGCCTGTTTTGGTACCAGTACCATGCTGTTTTTGTTACTATTGCTCTGTAATATAGTTTGAAGTCTGGTATCGCTATACCGCCTGATTCACACTTCCTGCTTAGCATTGTTTTTGCTATTCTGGGTCTTTTATTTTTCCATATGAATTTCATGATTGCTTTCTCTATTTCTACAAGAAATGCCGTTGGGATTTTGATTGGCACTGCATTAAACCTATAGAGAACTTTTGGTAATATCGCCATTTTGATGATGTTAGTTCTGCCTATCCATGAACAGGGTATATTTTTCCATCTTCTAAGATCTTCTTCTATTTCTCTCTTTAGGGTTCTGTAGTTTTCATTGTATAAGTCTTTCACCTCTTTTGTTAGGTTGATTCCTAAGTATTTTATTTTTTTGGAAGATATTGTGAATGGAGTGGTTGTCCTCATTTCCATTTCAGAGGATTTGTCGCTGATATACAGGAATGCCTTTGATTTATGCGTGTTGATTTTATATCCTGCCACTTTGCTGAATTCATTTATTAGCTCTAATAGTTTCTTTGTAGACCCTTTTGGGTCTGCTAGGTATAGAATCATGTCATCTGCAAATAGTGATAATTTAAGTTCTTCTTTTCCTATTTTGATGCCTTTAATTTCTTTCGTCTGTCTAATTGCTCTGGCCAGTGTTTCGAGAACTATGTTGAACAGAAGTGGTGAGAGAGGGCATCCCTGTCTTGTTCCAGATTTTAGAGGGAATGCCTTCAATTTTTCTCCATTCAGAATGAT